CCCCCCCCCCCGGTTCCCGGGATCCCTTGCTCATCCTCGCGCGCTAATGACTCAGACAGGGGCCGCTCGCAAAGCGATGGGAGATGATCGGCATCGATCAGCAGCGGCATGCTGGTTGGTTTAGTAGCAGTCCAGAACGATGTCGCAGAAGTGCTCGTCCTCGTCGAAGGCGGCCACCAGGTCGACAGCCCGCTGGCGGAGGCCGGCCAGGGGGGGCAGGGCAGGCGCCGGCCCGGCCGCCGGCCCGAGCCCCGCGTCGGCCCGCCCGCAAGGGGGGTCCCGGCCATCATCCTGGCCCGTCGCCGCCCCCGCCGCCGCCGTAAGCACAGCTGCCAGCAGGGCCCGGCATTCTGCATCGTTCTCGCGTCGGCTCGCGTCGGCCAACAGCGGCCGCCAGGCTGCCCCACCGAGCAAGGGGGGCCACCCGCCCGGCGGGCTGGCGGCCATCTTCCGCAGGGCCGCCCGGCGGACCGGCGCGTCGCCATCATGCAACGCCGTCGAAAGCAAACAATGCCCGAGGGCATGCTCCACGTCCGCCGGGCTGGGAGCCGAGCCAGGCACCCGGTCCGGACCATCCGCCAGCCAGGGGCCGAGGGCCGCCGCTGCCAGGAGGAGGGCCGGCGCTTCGGCCGACCCGCCGGCCGCCGCTCGGGCCAGCTGCGCCGCCTCGACCGCCAGCCGCAAGCCCAGCACGCGCGAGGAGCCGGAATCCCCGGTCACCGATACCGGCCAGGTGGCCCCGGGCGCCGGGGCGGCCTCTCCTCCCCCCTCCGGCGGGGCGGTCACACTGGGGGAGGCGCTGCCGCCGGCTGCTCCGAGCCCGGCCGGTGCCAATCCCCGGCCCAGGGCCTGGCCACCCTGGCCAAATAACCGCTGCAACTCGGCCACCCGACTCAGGGAGGGACACAACTGGCCGGCCACCAGGCCGAAGAATGTTCCAGCCGCCGGGTCCCCGGCCACCAGCCCCAGCACCGCCGACACCGGCTGCCGGAGTGCCAAGCGGCCCCGTGCCCAGGACAGCAGCGCCAGCGCCGCCCCATCCGCCGACTGCCGTACATCCCACGCGGTGTGGAACTTGGCGGCTCGCATGTTGTCAACAAGCTGACCCGCGGTCTCGGCCAGGGGAGGCTTGTGTTGCCGAGCCGGCGGGGCAGATATGGCGGCGCAACACCGCAGGGGGAAGACGGTGACAGGGCG